ACTGCTGATACTGGCTTTCTCAAGCAGAAGGGTCTTGCGCAGAGTCCGTGGCCAGGGCTTCGAATCGGTTTCCTGTTAGTGAAGCTTCCGGTCGTGCAAGCTGGGGCGGATTGGCTTTGGTGGGCCGAGTATCTCTCGACCTATCCTGTTGCTGCGAGGTGGGAAGGGCTACTTGTTTTCCCCCTATGCTGCGGAATGAGACCTGGGAAGTCTCTCCTCGGCGAGGAGGGCGGTTGCTCTGACAACGGTTGGGCTGCTGTTGGTTCAGCGGCGTCACCGAACACCGAGGTGGAGCTATCTGCTAGTTCTGTTGCAATGATGGGAACTGCTGCTGGTAAAAGTGATGTAGAACTTGTTGTTGGTAATGCTGGAACTGCTGAACTTGCTGCATTTGGGCTTGAATAGCCCGCACACAGTGCACCAGGTCGCTTAGCCGGTTCTGCCCGACTCTAGAGGGAACCACAGAAAGTTCAACGGAAGCTGCACCCATGACAAGAGGAAGTGGGCCGTTCACGGGCATAGTTGGCTGAGGCACAGTCAATGTCGGGATCCCACCCACAGAGAGCGGAATGGTAAACTGGCCTATGCAGACAGACGGGAACTGGGGTTGCCCCTGGAGACGTTCACTTCGTTGTGCTGTCCAGCATTGTTGGAGGTAGCCATGGATGAGCTTGAGGTTTTTGAAATGGAGATAAGAGGCTTTTAGTGACAGTTTCCCACAGACGGCACCAAATGATGTGGCATAATCTGGTTGCTCCCTACTGGATACGATCTGGCTGCCAGCAATGACGAGAGCTGAGATTCCTGAAACAAACGAGTCAGAGATCCCGAGGTGGCTTACCCGGCAGGGACACTTCGATGGTTAAGTTAGCACTTTAGTAGAGAGCTTGAAGATGATGTCAGAGAATTAGAGAGCTAGAGAGCAAGATTACGCATTACCTTCGCCCCTAGGGGGTGAGATCTTTATATACTGGGGTCCTAACAGGTTTGGTGGAGTAGGTCCTGAATTTCCGCTATGTCAGGTCCCGTTACCGTGTTAGGTGGGAGTAATGTCTCCCGTTGTGAGGTTGGCCATCCCTGTCTGAATCAGGGAGTGGGTGAAATAATGTAGCCGTTACAAAGTACGGTCCCGTGGGATGCAGAGTACGGAGGTGTGTTCCTCGAGGTTGTCATGCGAAGGTCGACCAAACTAGGTAGTGGGCTACTTGTGAAGTGTCGGACTGCTTGGCGGCGAGCTGCCTATTGGTGAGCTACTTGAGCTTGTGTTAATGCCGAAGTGCCTTAGTACCGAGGTGTTCTTGCACTGAGGTAGGCTTGTCCTGAGGTGGCTCATCTGTCCGAGCTCGACTTGAAGCGGACTCAACACTGCTGTCCTGGTCGCAAACTGGGACGATCTTAACCCGAAGTAACTTTAGTTCGGGGTACCAGCGTACCCGATGTCACTTTGTAGCGAGCTAATTTATGCTGAGTTGTCTCCTGTGTTGAGTTACATCCACGTGCCGAGCTAATTATGTCGAGTTGTCACTTATGCCGAGTCACGTCCACGTGTTTCTTGATTATGAGGTCGGGCCAAACTCCCCTTCATCAGCAAGGTCAATGGCTGAAACTGAATATAAAGCTATGGCACATGGGGTGGCTGAAGTCCTTTGACTAAAAAATCTTCTAGGGGAGCTTGGAGTTGTTCATAATCCTATGTCTCTTTACTGTGACAACAAGACAGCCATAAACATCGCCAGCAACCTTGTCCTACATGAGAGGACCAAGCACATTGAGGTGGACAAACAATTCATAAAGGAAAAATTGGAAAAAAGGGAAATCTGCATCCCTTATGTCAACTCCAAGGAACAACTTGCTAATGTCCTCACAAAAGGGCTTCCATACTCGCGACACAATGAGTTATGTGGCAAACTGGGCATGATAGACATATTCAATCCAACTTGAGGGGGAGTGTTGTGAGGATTATTTAATTGTTATTTTATAGTTGCTGTTAGTAGGTTGTCCTCTTAAGATGTTGTCAGTTAGTTATTTTCTTTTTTTCTTATTAATTTATTTCTAGGGATTGCCGCCAAGGACATACTTATAATTTCCATTCATTTTATATTAAATTAATATAAATAATGAACTAGCCGCAGCCAGAACAGATTTTTCTTTTTCTCTCAATCATATCTTCCTCTTCTTCTCTTTCTCTCTCTCTTCTCTTTCTCTCTCTCGTCTCTCTCTCTCTCCATGAATGATTACAGTACCAATGCCAGCCGTTGGTTTTTCTTATAAGTCTAAACCAACTATTGGCTAGGAACCAAAGTTTACCACAATTGTACATAGCACAAATTATTCAATCGGTTAAAAACGACGTAGTTAAATTGTTAAAGTGCTTCTGCGAACGATCAAGGTCTTCTCTAACATGTTTCTTTTTGGGATAAACTCCGAATATCCCCAACACCATGGGGACTGGGCAGTGTGTCACTTTACTACCCAGACTTTCTAGTGCCTCAGATTCCTCTCTGAACTTTCACAACTGAAGCAAGACACTCCTCCGTTGGTACAGAAAGTATCCTAATTGATGATCCAATTAGATTTTTACGTTATCTATCTTTTATCAATTTTTTTTTTCTTGATCATGGGAGACAACCTAGCTGGAGATCAACGCCTTCATTTTTCCTTGAACAGGGCGGATAATCTAGTTGGAGCACCAAGGTCTCTGTTCAACGGAAATAGTAACATGTATTGCCTACAAACTCTTGAGAAACGGAGTTTATGATATTAGCTTACAATCTCCTATTTAGATTGAACTGTCTAGATCTTTGAAAGCAAATTGTATGAACATAGTGCTTACGATGTTAGAATTTGTCCGTTTTTACTGAAATATAATATCATGCCTTTGAAACTATAATTGATTATCTTAACCTTTGACCAAGGTTCAAAGTATCAATACAAATCTGTCCATACAGGTTGATACTTATCGATCCGGGACCCCTTCGATATGCTTCTACAGTGGGTGTATAGGGGGTCTGACCGGTTCAAGGGGTGGAGCTCTACACCAGCCCCTGAACTGGTTTTGAAAAAAAAAAAAAAAAGTATCAATTCACCTGATACACCCCTACCAATGTATCAGGCGTATCGATATTTTGAACCTTGCCATAGACATGAGAAAATTTGTTTAACTATTCAATGGATTAACTAACAATTAAATAAAACAATATAAAATGATTAATAAATAATGGAATTGAGAAAGGAAAAATTACAGATTACTACCCTGAACTTTGGGGGTAGTGGCAATTATCCCCCTGAATTCTTATTTACGACAAAAGCTCTCTTGAATTTCAGATTTTGACAAAGACACCCTCCATTAGCATTTCATTAACTTTAAAAAAAAATTCTCACGTAATTGTTTAAACTTTTCTAAATCTCCAAATTACCCTTTTCTCAATGATTTTTTAACGTTTTTTTTTTCATTTCCATTTGTTACTAGTTTAGTTGGTATTAATTACATATTATGTTTATTGGAATTTTCAGGTTTTAAAAAAGGTTTCTTGTATTTTTTTTTGCATTTTCTATTTTTATAGAAGTTTCTTGAGTGGGTATTTTGGTAAATTAATTTTCACCACTCAATTTAACAGAGAGGAGGTCTTTGTCACAAATGAAAGTTCAAGGGGTAATTGCCACTACCCCTAAAAGTACAGGTTTATAATTTACTCAAAAAAAATTATAAACTATTATTTTATTATTATTATCATTTAAAATAATTACATAATAAATAAATAATTAGCTAATTATTAAATAATGGGAATGATATTTATTAAATAAAATAATAATAATGGTTATATCATAATCAATATTTTAATATTATTAAAATTTAAATGAATATTAATTAATTTAGTAGTTAATTTGTTATCATTGACATAATAACAATTAATGAATAATTAATAGAATAGAATAATTAACTATTATAATAATCAATAATATAAAAATAAAAATTTATGAAATAAATTAAATTAATAAGAAAATTATGAAAAATGATAAAAGATTTTAAATAATTTACTTATTTTTATTACATTATTGAACTTTTTATTATACTTTATTAATATTTTTATTTTTATTTACTATATCTAAAAACTCTAACGTGTCACTCAATATGGGTATAGTGCCAAATAGGTTGTTAGAAAACAAAAGCAAAAGTACAACCAGCAAAGCAATTAAATTGGACCATTCGTACCATTTCAAAGTATTTAGGTTTAGCATTATCTTTTATCAAAAAAAAAAAAAGGTATTTAGCCTTGTCAGCAACCAAAGCTCTGAAATGCCTCTAAATGCAGGAAGAGGTGTCAAGAGCCGTCGAACAGGCCCTTGGGCTTGTAACCTTGATATCTCTTTCATGGGTTCCCATGAAATGCATGTAAAATGTTGAAAAAGGAAAAACGAGCACCAACTTCTTTGGCTTTTGCTAGGATTATTTTTTGGATTAAAAACCATGGAACCACATTTTCCACTCATTTTTCAAACGGTTCCTGACAGAAGATGGATAAGGAGTTGCAACCGAGGTGTCATACAGTGGGTAGGCCTTAGCAAATATGTAAAATTATAGGGGGTGTCGTAGTACATGACCCTAAGAAAAAAATAATAGTTAATCAGACAAATCATATGCAAATGAAATTCAATATATATATATATATATATATATATATATATATATATTCCATATTCCACTAGTACTACTATGGTCCGAAGAAGAAACAGCTGAACAATGTCAAA